TGAATCATATGAATATAAAACTCTGTTCAATATTTCATTACTTCATTCAAACATTCACATCAAGGCATACTAGTCCTAATCCCTTAGGAACTAGTTCTAAATTAATATATTAAAATGATAATCCCTTAGTCAATTTAACATACAATTTGCATTAAGTCCGATGTTAAGAATTATCCCTAGATCCCAATCACTTAAGTGTTCTATCTACGTTTATGTTCAAAGTTACTTTCCAGTAATCAAAGACATTCAAATAACATTATATTTTCATACAGTGATAATAAGTTTAAGAAAGAGCATATGAACGAACAACGATATATTGACCAGGAAAATTAAATCACAGTGAGTTCATTACATCCAATCTCAACGAAAGAGAAATTAAAGCAATCCCTTGCAACAATGGTGTCTTGATGCCTTGAAGTAGTCTCCGGAAGTTCCTGAGATGTTTTCGTTTCTTTCTTTTGTCCAGAACTTCTGTCAGAAGAGCATGTTTCTGTCTTTCTGACACGTCTTTTAAAGCCACTTAATTTCATTAATTGACTCAGCGCACATGTACTGGTGCGCTATGCGAATTTTCTTAGCTGCTGTACTTTAACTGATGTTATTCGCTCAGCGCACAGGTACTGGTGCACTATGCGAATTTTCTTCTTCTAGCAGTGCGAATTTTGGCTTTCGCTTTGCGAAAATTGACTGACGAGTCTAAATAATACACCATTTCCTGTACAATATTTTACATAACAATCTACTACCTATTACAGTTTTTCAATGAGGAACAACATGAATAATTACAAGATTGAGCTCATTTATAAGTATAAAAACAACTCTTTTTCACACTTATCAGTTGTTTGTTTGTTTCGACAATGTACTTTTGTTTTTCTTTTAGCATAAACATTGTTATTTAAAATTGTTTGATGTTTATTGCAAGTGAGTATTTGACCTTGGGGGCAAACCTCCAACCCTTTAATAATATGATACTTAATCATTTTCGGATATAAATTTCATTTTAATAGAATTTTTATTTTAATTTATTTTAGATTTGTGTCTTCGGTTTATGTTTGTGTGAGAGATCTTTTAGAATTCGATCGAAATATCTTTAAGAAGGGGACAATAATGATAAACTGATTAGGTCCAAAGGAACTACATCTCAAGAGAAAAAAACTCCTACAAGCAATCATCCACCTCATGAAAGGATAAGGATAAATTTAAGAAATAGGAAGTTACTTCTATCATTACCAAACTTAGGAGTATGAATCTTTGAGTGGTACGAATTTGATGACAAATTAATTTTAAGAAAAAAGTATGATAGAGGACTGTCTCATGAATCTTCAAGTGATAACAATTTGAAGACAAATTTAGCACGAATTTGAGAAAAAAAAATTAACTTCAAAATGGATAGTATGATAGAAGACTGTGTTCCAATCCAATACAATCCATGAAGATTGGAATTCAAAAGAGATGCTTGACTCATATCACAATTAATAGTTTTATGCAATTAAAAACATTTGTAATTTTCTTTTAATTTTAACAATTTTTAACTATTGTTGGGTGAGTGAATTTGTTGGGTGATGAGTTTAAGTTTGTTTTTGAATTTTATAGTTATTTTTTATTTGATGTCTTTATGTTTTCTTTTATAATTTCTTAGGTTGCTTAATCATCTGGGGCTATATATAGAGACACAAAACACATCTGTAGACATCTTCGATAGTCATTATATAAAAAATATTTTTTCATTGAGATATGATTCTTTTGATTTATGGATTAGAATTTTGGTCCTTATAAAAAATTGAATTTTTTTGTCATAAATTTTCCTTTCTTGTCAATCTATTAGTTTGAGGCGTCTTCAACTTTGATTCTTATCAAAGATGACAATCTTTGTGACAAATCTTTGTTGATTTATCAACTAGTAGATTGTGGTGTCTCCATCTTTATCTTATTTAGTATTTTTCTTTGATTTATTTTTGTTTGTATCTTTTAAGGATCCAAATTCAGAATTTACTCATAACTAATGTATTAAATGTACTGGTGAAAATTTTCACCTATCACACTTACTTCATCACAATTCTTTAATGATGTTCTAATACTCACAACCAATGTTTTTCACCAATGTTCTTCACAATAAGGTTAACCCCACTAGCTCCATAAGTATGATCATCTTTCATATTATACTATCTACCATGTGAAGTCCTAACCGACACCACTTAAGTATCATACTTTATAGAGCAGGTAAGATATTAGTCAACATAATTTTACCTCTCAAAGTTTCCTTCAACACACTTTAACATCTAAGCAGTAGTATTTTTCCATTAAAATAAGTCATCCATACATTACTGCTTCAAACAAAATTATAATTTAATCATTTAATAAAAGATTATGTTCAAAAAGTCGTCCATCACATCTACCGTGTTGCCTAACACTCACAAATATACTCATTTAATACCTTTTATAAATTTAAGTTTCATCAACTCAAACAATAAAACATCATAACACGCCGGACATAAACCTAAACATCAACAAAGTCTTTTTCTCACATTATGCATATTTTTGTTCACAATCAAAGATTGTTATACATGCACCACATTTCACTGCCCACACTATATTTCCTTTTCTCCTAATTCACCATTAATTTAAATGTATCATAATTTCCTAGCATTCACATTAGACAAATTATCATTTAATGTTAACACCTTTATTCTTCTCTCCCAAATTCACAACACTAACTTATTAAGATCACAACACTTAATATTTGTATATTTTCGAACTCATTGAATCAATTCCCCAACACCCACATCAAATCACACTCCAACATTCAAACCCCCCAATTCAATTTCAAAAATAGATTTAACATTTATAGAAAATTAACAATTTAATCAAATTATGTTTGTGATTAAAACATTTAAGTGATTAGCTATCTTTAAGGAGTTAGTTAACATTCTCCTTGAACATCACCATCATATTACTTAAGTTTGATTTATTTACTCAATAAAATCTCTAATGATTACAGATTGCGATTCTATGTTAATCTTGAAACAAGAGTGTGTTTAAAACACAAAAGAATTATATATAACTAAAAAATTTGCATGCATTGAAGATTATAGTGGTTTTTAAAGAAAATAATATATTATATTCACCCAAAGATAAATCGAAAAAATAGTAGTAGAAGTCTTTGCTTTAATTCTTAAAATAAATATGAAGGTTGTTAGATCTTAGAATGAGTAGAGATGAAGGAAGAAAGAGCTGTTAAAGAAGATTAGTATAAGAGTTATCCCAAGATTATTTCTTAAAGAAACCCATTTTTAAGTTTCTTTAACTTTTACAGTAAAAAAAATCATTTTAATATATATATATATATATATATATATATATATATATATAAAATAAAATATATATTTTTATTTTAAATGTGTAATTGTTATTTTATAAAATAAATATAGTTACAAAACTATCACTAAAAGTTCAAGCTTATTAATATAACAAACTAATAATTAACAAAAAAAAAGAGTCAATGAAAAATATATAATTTTTGAAATTTCATTTTTGAATTAACCAAGGATACTAAATACCTAGTACGAAAACTAGTGCTGTTAAAATAGGTTACTCAGTTTGACCGAGTCTGGTTCACCACAAGTTGACTACTTAGTGAGCTAATCCAACTCGACTCATTTATCAGTGAGTTAAAAAATTTCAAATTCAGCTCTGTCTACCACAGGTTAGTCGGTTAAAGGGGTTGAATCACTAAATCATTTAATTAGAAGTTTTTTTTTAAATTAAAAAATAACATTTTATTTTGTAATTCAAATCAAATAAATTTCATTGTAAAACGATGTTAAATTTCAAAGACAATTCAAAATAAAAAAATAACATACAACTCAAATGTAATAAAAAAACAAACTCAAAAGTCGAATAAATAAGTTTATAATATTGATAATTTTTGTATCACTTATCTATTTATAAGATTAAAATCTTGAATGGATAAATTTATAATATTTTAATAAAAGACATATTTTTCTTTATTTCAATTTACAACACAATAAAAGAAATGTTAGCAAATAATATTGAAACAAAAACTAAAAAATAATTAAATTAAACTAGAAGGGTTGGTCAGCTCATCACAAATTCAATCTGGTTGAACTGTGTTCTAAGTGTACTGGGTTGAAAATTAGCCAGTATAAAAAAAATTCAATTTTTTTAAACCCAACTCGGTTTGAATATGTGGTGGGTCGGATTGACCATCAGGTTGAAAATTAACCCGTATAAAAAAAGTTTAATTTTTTCAAAACCCAACCCAATCCGATTCTGTGATGGACTCGATTGGTTATCAGATTCTAACCCATTTTGACAACATTAAATATGTCGAGAAATACATAATAAAAAATAAACACACAAAAATTGGAAACTAGTTTATTACATTAAATATTTAATTTTAAATTGAAAAATCCAAAATGAGTAAAGAAAATAATGGAATCAAAATTACATTAAAGGTTTAATTTAAATAAATAGTTTATTTACACCTACATATCTATATTTTAGATGTTCACACTTTTTTTTAATTTTACCTGTTAAATAACAATTTATTAAAATTAAAATAAACTTTTATCAATTTTATCTTGTTTCTTAATTTTTTTATCTGATCGTTCTTTTCAAATTTAATAATTTTTTAATTATAAATCATGTAAATAATTTTTTTTATGATAAAAATATAAACATTTTTTAATTTAATTTTATAATAATAATAATAATAATAATAATAATAATATTTTTATTTTTTATTATCATAAAAATATATGGATGTATTTCCCCTGGTAAAAAGTAAACACTATCCATATTTTTTTATTGAATTTTGTTACTATTATATGTTTTTATATTATTTTACTATATTAAAATTATTATCGTAAAATGTCTTTTGAAGGGTGGGTTTAGCTAGCCATAGACAGAGTCCAAGGTGAAAACATATCTCATTTTAAATTATTTAAATCCCATAAAAACAGAACACATAATTGGCGCGCTTATTTCTGATTTACCTCCCAACGTTTAAACGGTCGTGTAAGGTCGTCTTTAGGTTTTGGGCCACTCTGCGAACTTGCTTAGCCTTTCCTCTCTTGGAATGGCGTCTCCGATTGAATTCGCGGACTACGAAGAAAACCTGATCGCGGCTCCGCAACTTATTGGAAACCCCGCAGACTATGGAATCACTGACGATGAAGAAACCGAAGGTGAAGACGAAGACGAAGATGACGAAGAGTACGTTCCCGGTGTGGCCACCCCTAGGGTTTCGCATGACACTCCTCCAAGCGTTTCATCCGATAACGTAATTGTTATCCCCGACGAAACACAGGATTGCGTGGGAGAGGAGAGGAATAAACGCCGTAGGTTCGAAAGAAGCGGGGCTTCTTGTTCCTTCGCGACTGGGAGCAGCAACGGTAGCCAAGAAAGCGACCATACCAACATTGATGGTCTTTTTTGCCCTATTTGCATGGATGTTTGGACCGATAACGGCGAACATCATATCTGGTGCAACCGCATTTCCTTTGCCCTAAATTATACACTCACACACGCCCACTCACAGTGACTGATTGTTAATTAGAAGTTTTTATGGTGGTGAAATTGTTGAATGTATGTGAACGATGTGGTGAATTTTTTTGAATTTTTGGGGTGAATGAGTTCAGTTGTCTTCCTTGTGGACACATATATGGCATGTCTTGCATCAAAAGATGGCTTCAACAACGCAAAAGTTCCAGCAAGGTAAATACACACTATGTTTAGGTGAGGCTTGAGTGGTGCTTTCTGAAATTTATGCAACCTAAAGTGGTTCTATATTTATCTTTTGTGTGTTTTTGGTCCCAGTGTCCCCAATGTAATAGGAAATGTACGTTGAAGGATGTGAGGAAACTGTTTGCTTCCCGAGTAGTTGCGGTCGAGGAAGAATCTCAGAAGGTTTGGCCATGTTTATGTGCGCATTTTATGTGAAAAGAAACCTTTTAAGAAGATAGGTTACCTGATTGATTACTTTTTCGCTGTTGGCAGAGAATTCAGTCACTTGAGGCCAAATGTGCTGCCCTTGACAGTAAGGTAGTGGGATACTGTGCAATATTATTTTACATGCTATTTTTTCTTCCTGGCTTTTTGTGGGTTTTGAACTTTTGATCATGCTCGAATATGAATCTGTATTATTGGTTAAAACAATATATCAAATACATTCTTAGGTCAGTGATTGGTGCAAGAAAGAAGAGGGATGGAAACTTCGAGAAGTCACCTTGCATTCTCAGGTTCAGACTCTTACACAGGTATAACTTCTGCATTACTACAGAATATACAAACATTTTGTTGGTAAATCTGCGGTTTTCCAAATTTAAAAACATTTTGCATTTTCAAGTTCAGAATCTTACACAAGTATCACTATGCATTACTATAGAATATACAAACAATTTGTCAGAAAATCTTTGGTTTTCCAAATTTAAAAATCTTTTAAAGACTATGGTTGGAGCCACTCATATTACCCTAATATTTTATTTTATATGAAATAGATGATGATGCCATGTCATGTTTGCCATGCCACACCGTTGCATGTTCTAACCCTAACCTACTTTTTTGGACCATTACCACTCTTGATGTTGTTGTTTGCCTCTTTACTTCCTTTATAATCAGTAATTTAACATCTTCCACTCTTTTGTTACTTTGTCTGAACCTATTAGGATATAAGAAAAAGGGGGAGTAAGTTAATAGTTAGAATGTTAATGAGATGGCTAGTTAGATATGAGTAGGAGAAGAGGAAATAGGAGAGAGGGAGATTTGTTGCCATTGTATTGATCAATGGTTGGCTCTTAGTGACGGGGCACCCTTGGAAGGTAATTTGGTCTCCTTTTCATTGTTCTTCTCACCCTATTCCATTAAATTATTTTTTTTCTTCTCATTTCAATTTTTAGTTTGTAACAGAAACCTTGCATCAAAAACCATTTTCATAGTTTCGACAATTTGATGTTGAAAATTGAGGCATTTGCTTGAGGAGCATTGCGAACAGACATTTATGCAGTTTAAACTGGTTTAAATATTTCGTCCAAATCATAAAACCCTCTTCGATCGTTTTGGATCTTTGTATGTATGGCTTAAACTGTTATGTACATTTGACCTGTAGAGAAACACTTATTTGGAGCAGCTGCTACTAGATATGCGGAGCAGGGAATCTGCATCGATAAGTCACAATGGAAGCTCTCAGGGGAGATGCGAATCTGGTATTCATTCTTTCAGCATTCAAATGAGATGACTGATTTCTGCCTAATAAAAGTTGTCTCCTTTTGCTCATCCAGCACCACTCCCACTTTCTTTCTAAAACAACAAACTCTTTTTTCAAGAAAAAGTTGCTGTTGATTTCATTGATTGCTCAAGTTTCTTTCCCTCAATGTAACTTGTAGAGCACAACATTGGCCCAAAGTACTGTGGAAAGGGATCCATTTGTAATTTTGAATTGCAGGTATGCCATTATATCATTTCGCCCTCTCCTCTCCTACCTAACATCACCACTTTGGAAAAGTTTCACCTTGTTATCTTTTAGTCTATCCCTATTTATCTCTTAAACTTTTTTCCCCTTAGCCCCCCAAAGTTTGTTTTAACTTGAAATAACTGTGTAACATCCCAAAATATAACATGTAACTATATAATAGTCATCACATAGTTAATATGATAAATCAGTTAACAAGATAGATTTGGAGTATAGAGTTATTCTTACAGTCATCCAAAGAAAACTATAACTCTAACTTT